ATATATGGAAGGTAGATTTGATTAAATGAGTATGTTTTGCAACTTGATCTGGCGTGTATCTTTTAATGGCGAGGAGGAAAATTAATTAGTTTAAGTAGTAATATGGCGTGTAATTTGACAAATGTAGTGTTTCCCGGAAAATTTGATCCCAGGACTGACAATTGGAGTGAATATAAAGAACGTTTATTGTGTGCTCTGGAAGCCGCGGATGTAATTGGTGATAATGTAGACAAAGCCCGCGCCATTTTCCTATCACAATGCGGAAAGGAAACATATTCATTAATTATTTCATTATTGGTGCCTAGAAGGCCGACTTCTGTGACATTTAAAGACATTTTGGCAGTTCTTGACCAATTCTATGAACCTCAACTGAATGAAATTTTACAAACTGATAAATTTCATAAACGTCAACAAAGTCCTAATGAAAGTATTCAGGACTTTATTGCGGCCATTGGCTCTCTGGCTTCCAGGTGTAATTTTATGGACTTAAAAAGACAACTACGGGACCGATTAGTGTTAAGTATGTGTGAAGAGCGTCTCCGTCGCGAGTTGTTAAAGACGAAAAATCTTACTTATGAGTTAGCAGTGCAGTTGAGCCTTAACTATCAAGGCACATTCTCAGATTTGTACCTGGAAACAAGTGTGATGAAGCAAACTCCGTCCACATCCACAGTTCCTATGGATATTGGTAAAATTAAAGCGATTACATGTCGTCATTGTGCAAGGTCACACAGCGACGGCGAAAGGTGTCCTTTTATAAAAGCAAAATGTTTTTATTGTAAGAAGTTTGGACATATTGCGCCGGCCTGTATGAAGAAATCTGGCAAGTTGCACCAGGTGGAGGAAAGATCAACTTCAAATAGAGAAAATGAAAGATCTGAACAGATGATGGGTGTCTTTGTTTGCTCAGATAATATTCGACCACCATTCAAAGCAGATGTTATGATTGATGGGGTAAAGGTTAGCATGGAAGTGGACTCAGGTGCTTCAAGGACAATCATGGCTGAAGATACATACTATAAGCTGTGGTCTGTTTCCCCACCCTTACAGGCGACAGGCGTGAAGTTGGTTACGTGGACCTGTGATGAATTGAAGGTGTTAGGTCGAGCTCATGTTCGAGTGTCATTAGGAAACAAAGAAGCACAATGTGAGCTACTGGTTGTTTCTGGTCGTGGGCCTAGCCTTTTAGGAAGAAACTGGTTTAAAATTTTGGGCTTAGAAATAGCTGGTATATGCTGGACAGATGATAAGGTTGATGAATTATTAAAATCTTTTCCGGAGTTATTCAAAGAAGGACTTGGAGAGTATAAGGGTCCTCAAGTATCATTAAATGTGCGAGCTGATGCCGTGCCACGGTTTTTGAAGGCACGACCAGTACCATTTCCTCTGATAAAACAAGTTGATGAACAATTAAGTTAAAATACTCAAATGCATATTCACTATATTCACCATTAGATACATACCACTCTAATGTCTTTGTGAAATTAAGGTAAATTTTAGTAAGATTGACTTAAAACAGCTTACATGCAAATAATTGAGGACACAACTATGTTGTTAACACTGAATACTCCGTTAGGGTTAATGAGGATGAACCGGCTAGCATTTGGAGTAAATGCAGCTCCTGGAATCTTCCAGCGTGTGATGTCGACTACACTCGCAGGTATTGAAGGAGTAGCATGTCTATTGGATGATGTCGCTGTTAGTGGAAAGAATAAGGAGGAGCATGATCAAAGACTAAGGGTGGTCATGACCAAACTAAATGCAATGGGATTTCGGTTAAACCTGAACAAATGTGTGTTTGCGTCAAATCAGATAAGTTTTTTAGGACATATGATTGATGCAGAGGGATTGCACCCATCACCTACTAAAGTGAAAGATATAAAGGAGAAACCAGCACCGATGAACAAAGAAGAGCTACGGGCATTTTTAGGGTTATACAATTTTTATGAAAAATTCATTATAGACAAAGACTGGAGCCATTGCATCGATTGCTGGAAGCAAAGAAACCTTGGGTATGGGGTTTGCTGGAGCAGATTGCATTTGATAAAGCTAAAGGATTTGTTGTCATCAGATTTAACCTTAGTTGGATATGACTTAAAAAGAGAGTTATTGTTAATCTGTGATGCATCGGAATATGGTATAGGTGCAATAATTGCCCATGTAATGGAGAATGGGTCAGAATGACCTGTGATGATGGCATCCAGAATGTTACAACCCCACGAGCGACGTTATGGACAAATTGATAAAGAAGCTTTAGCCATAATTTTCGGGATTACAAAATTTCATGAATTTTTACTAGGAAGGAAGTTTTGTATTATTACAGATCATAAACCATTAATTGGATTATTTAACCCGAATAAACCTATTCCGGATCAGATTTCACCTAGAATGTTGCGATGGTCTCTGAAGTCGGTGTGTTATGAATATGACATAAAATACAGACCCGGAAAATGCATTGGTAATGCAGATGCTCTCAGCCGTTGAAATTCTATTAATGCAGCTGAAGTGCGAGGGATGGATTCGTTAGCCGATGTGCTACTTTTGGAGGAACCTCACTCTGGATTCAACTAGGATGCAGCTAAAATCGCTTCTGAGACTAAAAAAGACCCAGTACTACAAAAGGTTTTATTTCATGTGCTACATGGATGGACTTGCAAAAATACTGATCCCATACTCCAGCCGTATTGGACGCGAAGAGAGGCTCTTTCACATAATAAAGAGTGTTTATTGTGGTGTAACAGAGTCATTATACCCGCTTCTTTACAAAAGCAGGTATTAAAGGTATTGCATGCACCGCATGCTGGAATCGTCCAAACGAAAGCCTATGCTAGAGGATACGTATGGTGGGTCGGTATGGACGCTCAGATAGAGGCCACAGTGACTGGCTGTGAGCTGTGTCAGGCCGTGAGAAACAATCCACCAAGAGATCCGCATACATGGATTTTACCTGACAAGCCATGGAGTCGTGTCCATGTTGATTTTGCAGGACCGTTTCAAGGGAAGACATTTTTTGTTATGATTGACAGCTATAGAAATGGTTTGAGGCTATTTTATCTAATATGAGTAGTGGAGCTCTAATAGCAAGTTGTTGCAGGATGTTTGCTTCGCAGGGATTGCAAAAACCCCCCCAGAAAAATTAATTTCGGACAACGGTACAGTTTTTAGCTCAAGAGAATTTAATAAATTCCTGCAGAACAATGGCATCGAGCACTTGTACTCACCCCCATATCACCCGGCAACAAACGGACAAATCGAACGGGCGATACAGACCTTCAAGAACAAGCTCAAGAAAATGTCTGATGCAGGTGTATCATGGACTGAGAAACTACCTAGGGTGTTATACTCCCTCAGAACGGTGCCGAATCACCTCGGTAAAACTCCTGCAGAGATGTTAAATGGACGTAAATATAAAACTGCGGTGTCGGCCCTTCATCCCGATAGCGGGCCAGAGCACTCTGAGCGACAGCTGGAGGAGGCAGCACAGCGTGCGCCCACCCGAGCCTTCGCGCTCGACCAGCGTGCCGCGTGCGACGTGCGTGCCTATGGGCCAGGAGAGAAGTGGCGACGCGCAACCATTGAGTATATCGAGGGCCCTAGTTGTTATAAGGTGAGAATGGAAGATGGACTGTTAATCCGTCGACATGTTGACCAAATACTGGCGCGATCTACTGCCGTAATCGAGAACCAGACCGCCGATGACCTGCCAATACCTCAATCACGTAGAAGATCAAATTCGTCTTCTGGGTTTGACCCACCAAAACAAATACCAAAACCAGAAATGTGGCCAGAAATTATGGGCATACCAAGTAATGATTAATATTGTAATTAAAGTTTGGCAAAAAAAAAAAGCTGTTGGTCATTGGTGATTAGAAACAAATAATGAAAGACAATAATTAAAATGGTTTATTTCAACTTAAGTCCTTAACTATGATTGTAACCATGTTATTGGGATAGAAAGGTATTATGTGATGTATTGATAATGTTAAGAGTAAAATTGTTATATATACGGAAGGTAGATTTGATTAAATGAGTTTGGCAACTTGATCTGGCGTGTATCTTTTACTAGTAAAAGTATTTACTATGGTATTCCAATAAGAAATATACTATTAGTATCTTATTAGAATCTTGACCTTAAATATCTTATTAGAAATCTTGACCGTTATGAATTGTTCGCGTAGAGGTTTTTTTGTTTCTACTTTTTTATCAATTGAAACATAAAAAGTTACTGTTGTTGTAACTTAGATCATTCAAAAACATTACGTAGTAAAGATAAATAACATTACTTACAGTTTTTTTTAAAGAAAATCCAACTAAAATCACAATCACAAAACTTCAACGATTACGCAACTAACTGCGCAAACAACAACCAAACAACGCAAACAGCGCAAAAGCGAATGGCTGTCATATTTGATTGTGTCTATGTAACCAAGTGAATATAATTCTTCAGAATACTCTTTAGTTCATTAAGAATCGAATGAAATAGTGTTCAATTGAAAATATACTGTATTTTTATATCAATTAATGACGAAAATAGCAGCACGTAATGTGGACATGAATTCATGTCCGCGGTACTCAACGGTCACAAAACGGTACAAACAGTACATCAGGGGTTAATCAAAATTAAATGTAGATATAGTTTTGGGCCACAGCATTAACTTTCCATCAGGTGGACTTTGTGCTCATTTGTCACTCACATGGTATAAAAATATTATTGATTCAACACTTGAAGTAACTTTTACTCATATCACTGTCTATTGCTAATTCTTATTGAAGTAAGCATAATATGTATCTACAAAAGTTTATACGGTTATAATTTAATTAACTGTAAGCGTGATGTCAATTACATAAAAATATGTGCGCCTTTTGCGTTTTTATGCACCACATCATACTCTACTTATCAATTTGTATTTATTCAGTTGGCATCGTGATTTTGTTACCATATAATTAAAAACATGATATAATTAATTTATGTAATTAAATCATACAAGTTTTACACTTACGTTTAAACCGGGATGGAATCTAGTAGTCCTTTGGGTTGCAACAATATGACCAGCTTGTACAAAATGTCCATCTTGCACTTTCCATCCTCTGTGCTTAGGCTTTACTTTGCAATTTGTATTTTTCGTACTACCACCAGTCTTTTTGCTGGCATGACGAACAATATCTAAAAAAAAATTAACATTATTGAAGACAAAAATTATAACCTAATTTAATTAAGTCAACAAGTACCAACCCACAAGTACAGAGACTGGCTTTTTTGGAATTAAGAAATTTGTGGACATCTTAATACTATTTTCAATCAATATGGAACTTTTTCACCGTAGACAGAGTAGGTAACCTATTTTTTACAGTAAATAGGCAGTAAAATAGTAATCTATGTAGTAAAACGAACGATAGAAAATTTTATAAAAGTAAAACAATAATTGTTGATGTTTTTATTATTCGCTCGAGAGAGCAGGCAAAGGTACTAAGCCATACAGCCTTGTCTTTTTTAATATGAATATATAGAATTTTGAAGTGTAAAGGCCGGAACCAAGTCTTATTTCTCTTCTTTCTATCTCTTCAAAATCCATAAGGGCCCAAGCCAAGTCTTATTTTCTTTAATTATTCATATTTTCAAAAATCATAAAGGCTTAAGCTAAGTCTTCTTTATATTATGATCTTTATAAGTTTCAATCCATATAGATTTATCAGTCGAATATTTACAAAAACAGGAATAACATATTTCATAATATTTCTTTAACAGTATAATGAATAAAATTGCAAAGTGCTAAATATGTCTTAGTATTCCTAAGAACATCTATTTTTCAATGAGTGGCAATCTTTCAATGGCGTACGCTGGGCAATTAAATATTATATGTTCTGCAGTCTGATCTGCTTCTGCATCACAGAAGTTGCATGTTACAGATGCTACTATTCTCACACTGGAAAGATGAGCGTTCAGTCGATAGCGGCCAAATCTAAGTCTGCACATTATTGTATAAAATTTTCTGCTATGATATCTCTCGTTGCGAGAAAACCAAGGAATACTTATAGTTCGGCCGTTCAGAGAATGCGTTCCTGACACGTCGCGATTGAACTGACGACGTAATTTTGTAATGGCGTTGCAGTTACGATAAAAATATTTTTGCTGGTTGTTTACCGTTTTAACAATTGATGAGCATTAAAATAACATTATTATATCAATAATCAATGAATGTTATAATTTTGTGCCAAACTGAGTGTAAAATAACTTGGTAAACAATATTTTTTAAATCTATACTGCGCTATTACAAGGTTATGTCAGCGCTTTATATTTGTAGTGCTGTGCTAACAATAACAGGCAATAACAGTATCGTAATCTGTTCTTAAACAGTTATACTTTATAAAATAATACGTTTTGTTTTTCTTTTTTAAGAATTTGAAAATAATGGACTATAAGATAACTTTCATTAAATATAAAAATAAAACTACGACCAAACCGAACGCGCGATAGAAAGTAGCATTTTTATATTTAGGTTGAAAATGGTAACCCCAAATGGCGTTATTGGCCGACACTTTGTGACGCTAAAACAGTCGTCTGTGATCGTTTCGTGCGCATAGACCACGTTCTTCAAGTGTTTTCGATCTGTTTTTATTTGATTACCCGGCTTTAGTTTAATGGACTGTTTCTGCTTTTCAAACTGACATCGGCGCTAAATCGGACTTCGATTGTGTTTTGTATTGCGTTCTTTTTACTTTTGGTGCATAATAATGCCTAAACGTGGACAAACATTGAAAAGTGGAGCCCGTGAGTTAATCATCAAGCTGCAAGATTACTTTGACCGGGAGCGGCAAAATGGCGGACCCCTGTTACCTGTCGAACAAGTACAAGAACGCGTCTCTCAAGCGCTTGAAGTTAGCAGGAACGAAACAACGAACGATAACAAATATTAATAAAGAAAAGTTCGGCTCTACTGGCACGGAAGATAATATTTTACGTACTCCGAAGAAGAAACGTAGAACTAAACCCGTGACAGATATTGACACTTTTGACGCCGATGCCATCAGAAATCATATATATGGTTACTATTCCAGAAATGAATATCTCAACAGGAAGAAGCTTTTGGTATCGTTAAGAGAAGCTGGACTGTTTAGCGGGGGTAAAACTGCTTTAACTAAAATCTTAAAAGATATTGGTTTTTCGTATAAAAAAACAGACAAAAGAAAAATTTTATTAGAACGATCACGACATAATTTTAAAACGGATAAGTTTTTTTAGAGAATCAAAAAATATTGATAACTGGGATAATGTCGTGTTCATTGACAAGACATGGCTAAACGCCAATCACACGGTTTTCCATTCTTGGACGGATGATACACAAGCGTCGGCGTCGAAAGTATCAATGGGTAAGGGGGCCCGTCTGATAATATGCCACGCAGGTTCTGCAAAATACGGCTTTGTGGAGAACGCGTTGCTGGTATTTCAATCAAAAACCACAAATGACTACCACCAGGAAATGAATGACACTACAGTTAAAGAGTGGTTCCAGAACGTGCTTTTGCCCAGTCTACCAGAGCCTTCTGTAATATTCATGGATAATGCCTCCTATCACTCGGTTCAAATACAGAAACCACCTACCCAAGCTAATAAAAAAGAAGAAATGGTGGCTTGATTACAAGCAAAAGGTATTGACGCAAATATGCAGATGCTAAAACCAGAGCTATTTTTTTTTATAGAAGAGGGGGCAAACGAGCATGTGGCTCACCTGATGTTAAGTGACTACCGCCGCCCATGATCAACCGCAACACCAGGGGAATTGCAGGTGCGTTGCCGGCCCTTTAGAAAGGAGTAAGCTCTTTTCTTGAAGGTCCCCAGGTCGTATCGGTCCGGAAAAATCACCGGTGGTAAATTATTCCACAGAGAGGTTGTACGCGGAAGAAAACTCCTTTTGAAACGTACAGTGGTGGACCGCCAAGCATCCAGATGGTGTGGATGGTATCGGGACGTTTGCCGCGTAGTGCGTTCACGAAATTTGGCGGCTGGGATTAATCCGAACAATTCCTCAGAGCACTCCCCGTGATAGATGCGATAAAATACGCAAAGAGATGTAACATCTCTTCGCAGCGCCAGTGAATCCAGCCGATCGGAAAGCACTCGGTCGTCGACGATTCGAGCCGCTCTGCGCTGGATGCGGTCAAGTGGAAGGACCTGGTACTGGGGAGCCCCAGCCCAGAGATGGGAACAGTATTCCATGAGCGGCCGAACCTGCGCCTTGTCCCTGTCCCGCTCTGCTGAGCACGCCAAGCTTTTTTAGAGGCCAATTTGGCCTTTCCTTCCAAGTGACCACGAAACTGCACGTCACTCGATATGTCGACGCCGAGGATTCCGATACTGGCTGAGGCAACAAGGGGAGTGCCTTGAAACTGAGGGGATACGACAAAGGGGTTCTTGTTAGCGGTTAACGCGCAAACTTGTGTCTTCCGGGGGTTAAACTGGACTAGATTTAGTCGCCCCCAATCCGAGACTCTGTCCAGCAGAGACTCGACTTCAGACACAAGTTTGTCCCGGCACTCAGAGACGTTTTCCCGAGAAATATTGGCTCGGCCGGTGTAAAGAGCATCACCAGTGCTGTCATCTGCATAGCAATGAATGCTACGGGTTTGCAACATATCATTGATATGCAGAAGAAACAGCGTTGGCGATAGCACGCAGCCCTGTGGAACACCAGCATTAATAAGCTTGCAATCGGAGCTTGCACCGTCTACAACGACCTTGATGCTCCGATCTGCAAGAAAACTGGTGATCCAATCGCACAATTTCTCGGGAAGCCCATAGGAAGGGAGCTTCGAAAGAAGCGCTTTGTGCCAAACCCGATCGAAGGCCTTCGCAATGTCCAAACTAACGGCCAATGCCTCCCCCTTGGACTCTACTGCCTCCGCCCATCTGTGAGTTAGGTAGACCAGAAGATCACCAGCTGACCTACCACGGCGAAAACCGTATTGGCGGTCACTAATCAGCTGGTGATCCTCAAGGTACCTCATGAGCTGGCAGTTTACAATGGACTCCATTGTTTTGGAGAACAAGGAGGTGATGGCGATAGGCCGGTAGTTGGACGGGTCTGAGCGGTCGCCTTTTTTTAGGGATCGGGTGGACGAAAGCCGTCTTCCATGATTTTGGGACTACGCCTAGGGAGTAGGAGTACCGGAAAAGACGCGTTAAAACCGGTGCCAACTCTGGAGCACACGTCCTCAGCACAATTGGGGGGATTCCATCAGGCCCACTCGACTTATGGATGTCCAGGGAGAGGAGTGCTTTGCGAACCGAGCGCTGAGTGAACTGCACTTTCGGCATGGAGCACTCACACCGCGGGATGGTCGGCGGCGTACTCCCCCCGTCATCGAGAGTCGAGTTAGATGCAAAGAAAGAGCCTAGAAGATCGGCTTTCTCCTTTGCGGTGTGGGCCAGTGAGTCGTCCTCCCTGTGCAGAGATGGAAGAGATGGCTGACAGAAATTCCCCTGGACAGCCTTGGCGAGAGACCAGAATGCACGGGTTCCAGAAGGAAGACGAACTAGTCTCTCGCCAATTCTGCCTATGTGCTCTGACTTTGCCTTGGCAATGACTCTTTTGAAGGACCTAGAGGCGGAATTATACTTCTTTTTAGAGCGCTGGTGTTTACATCCCTGGACGCTGATGCGTCAGCCCAGGCTCGGTAGCACTCCTAATTAAATTAGCTAATTAAATTAGTTAAAGAAAATATAGCGGCAAATGTGCGATACGAAATCGATGAACTGGATCTGGAGTACAGTCATCGCGTTCTAAGAATTCCACCGTATCATTGCCAATATAACGCGATTGAGCTAATCTGGGCTCAAATAAAAGGTTACGCCGCCCGCCACAATACTTCTACGAAAAAGATTAGTAACACACAATACTACTAGAACAGCGGGGAGACAAGAGATGACTGGGCAAAGGTTGTTGAGAAGACTAAAAACCTGATTGTGGAACATTTTGACCGAGATATCAGGATTGATTCTGTTATTGATAATAATATAATTATACATGTAGGCGAAGATGATGATGAAGACACCACCTCCTCAAGCGAATCGGAGTCTGATTAATATTCTGTACGCACATTCAATTCAATGTACTTTATTGCATAGAAATACAGATTGTAACTTTGTAACAAAGAATAAATAAAACAATTTTATTATATTAATATTACCTATTTTTGGTTTCCACTTAAATTTCTAAAATATAAATTTTAAATGATTCCGCCAATTTAAAACGAAAATAATCTTAAAAATAACGCGGCGGTTCAT